CCTGCAGGGGTGTCGGCTGGGATCCCGAAATCTGTAGCAGCTGCAGCTCTAGATCCTGCCCGATCATCGGCGATCGCTTGGAACCTTCTCAAGGTGGTGTGGATCCCACAAACTGCATACTGTGTGGCCAGCGACGCGCCGGCCTCTTGCAATACGTATTGAAGGTCTGCATCTACTGCATTGACTCTTGCTCTCATCTCGGCATCGGTTGCCATTGGACTTGAGGCACCTCACTTGAGGTCTTTGCTCCTGCAGTCTACAATCCTTCCCGCTGAGCGCCCTTAGGCCTTTGCTGCAGCATCCCCAGGTCTGAACCCTGATGCGCTGCAAAGACATTCAGGTCCTCAATCGACGGTCAAGATGTGCTCGCCCCCTTTGAATGAAATGGAACAACATGCGACACGAGAGTATCTTTCCCCGCGCTCGACACACTGAGGGTCGTACTCGAGCACCTAAGACTTCCCTAGGGAACGGGCACAAGCTGTGATTCGGCATCTCCTCACTCGCTGGACGACGTGGTCGCCTCGCCCGAGCTACTTTCTTCAGCCCGGTCCTCGTTGGTCATTGAACGGATCCTAACTTTGCAGTCCTTGCAAACTGCATCAAAATCAGCAGCTGTCACCTGATCAAGATACAGAACGTCCTGACATTTAAACGGCTTCACATAGCAAGCGTGGTTCACATGCAACCTACGAAATCCAGTCTTCTTGCTCACACTGACAAAATATCTAGCATCTCCCTTTGGGAATGCTGCCGGGTGCCCGTCCTCCTCAAGTTCATCGGGAACAACAAGCGGCACCTGCATGTTCTGGAAGAAGAGCGGCGGAAACCTCCCGCCCAATCGCGGATTTCCGCCCGTCTTTGATGGCCTGACAAGTTCGTGCCTTGCGCGGATCACTGCACCGACCTCGCCCCTCTGCTCAGCAAACGCTTGCAAAGCATCCAAAGCATCGGCCTCCACATAGCCCTTCTCCCTACCAAGCAAGACGACTTCGGCAACATGATCTTGAACCCTGTGAACTATCTGTCTAGCAGTCCTCGTGTAGTCCGCTGATCCCCCTCCGCCGATCTTCCATCGGCCGAGATAGTCACGATCCCCTTCGGGCACCCCGATGGCGGCCCCCACGGACGACAAGAAATTTCTCGCTGAATGCCCTGCAAAATGCAAGGCGCACTCCCCTGGTAGCAATAAGCGCTCAGCGTTCTGCTTCCACTGGCCCTCGTGCCACCGCGGGGTGCAAAGCTCCTTGAAAATCTTTCGCAAGTAAAGCGCCACTGTCGAAGCATCAACACCTCTGTCAGTGCATGTCTCCCAATCCTCAGCTGCCTGTAATACCAAGAAATCTCGACGAACGTCAATTTCAGACCACAGCCTCATGCCATTCTGAAGCCAGTCAGTCCCTGAGAAGCCAGCCTTGCGTGAAATGAAGACCTGGACCATGTTCACCCTTCTATCTGGCCCCGTGGTCTTGGTCTTCCACAACTTGCAACTGAATCCCTCAATGGTGAGGCGCATGCTCTCTGGGCGCATGCATTGGATGTCATCTGCCCTCATGCTCCCCCAAAGCATCACAAGAGCAACGAATGCCATTGCTCGTGCATACTTCGGTCGATCACCATCATTCAAGAAAAGTTCCAAAGAGAGGACCATAGCCACTGTCGGCTGCGCTGCCTGGTGTAATGTTGGTCCCTTCTCCACTAGCTCTGCTGTGACATTCTTGCTGAAAGCGATCCATGTGGTATCTCTAGAAAGCATCCCATCTTCGTCGAACTTTCCAACCTGTTCCAACACAGCCAGCGAAGCCGCAAAAGCCTCCAGAGTAGTTTTGCCTGCACCCTCCTTGACCGCTTCGGTCGCATAGTCAAGCAAGTCTTGAATGCCCTTTGGCCATGTTCTTCCCTTTG